TTCTTGAATATCCACACACACGTGCACATCCAGGTGTATTTTTGTGTCTCATGCTCTACACGTATCCACCTGCCACCCCTACATGTGTGCACACACCTCTACCCATGCACGTTCTTACCCAGCTCTTCCGTGAACAGCCGGCAGGTCTCCGGGTTGCGCACTGTGAAGGCCACGTAGGCGTCCAGAGGCTGCAGGCCCGAGTGGCAGGCTGAGAGTGTCCGCAGCACGCCGAGCAGGGCAAGGACAGTGTCTGGGCAGTACAGCACGTCTGGAAGGCAGAGTGGAGTCAGTGCAGGGCCATCTGGGGGCAATGGCACCTCAGGTCTGAGATGGTCGGAGAGGCATCCACTTGATGGGCTGAGAGCCACACTGACTGGGCCCTGTTGCCGTGGACTGTCTCAGCTAAGGGGCTGTGCTGGCCTCTCCCGGCCATGGGTGAGGGAGCGGCCCACACTGACCACCACCGCACCTTACTGACAGGGACCTCAGAGCAAAGTGGCTGGTTCCCTCCTAAAGGCTAGGGCCATAAACCTGGGCAGAGATGGGGCCACTGCTGGGACATGGGCATGCGGTGGCCACAGGGACCCCGGAGCAGACAGGCGAGGCCATACAGCTTCCCGCCCTGACCAACTCAGGAGGCGGCAGACATGGGCTTGGGAACCCAAGGGGCCAGGCTGCAGGGACTGTCCCTGTCCTGTTGCATACGGAAAGGGTGGGGTGCCAGCAAGCCAGGGTGGTTGGGGAGGCGGCTTAGGTGACCGCTCCTGATGAGGGTCCTCAGGCTGTGTCCCCCAAAAGCTGGAGAGGGAACTCAGTCTGTCAGGCAGTGGGGCCTGGCTGCTGGCTGGCCCAGACGGCCCTGTGGCCATGCTGGGAAGAGCCAGGCGGCATGTGGCTGTGTCATGTGGCTGACCTTGTCCCACAGCTCTGTCCCCGGGTGGGCCGAGGAGAGGCCTGGCCGCTGTACCTGCTGCGATGACCACGTCTGGCTGGAGGGCAGAGAGCTGTGGGGCGGTGGCTAGGTCCCAGTCAAGTTGGGCCACGACCACCAGGGGCTTTTCTGCGCCCGGCGTGCCCCTCCCTGCGTGCTGCCGAGGGGCCAGGCCGTTGAGGAGGACATTTGCTCGGAGCTGCTCCAGGACCCGGCTGTGACAGTCACTGAAGATGTAGGCCTGGGGGCTGCAGGCCTTGCAGATGGCCAGGCCCGTGAGGCCAGCCCCGCTGCCCAGCTCCAGGACGGTCCTGGTGGGGAGGGGGGCTGGGCGTTGGCCTGGGGCTGGTCCACCTGGTCCCAGTCACCTGTCAGTCACTTGCTGCCTCCCTCCCACCCACTACTATTTGTCAGTCACCTGGTATCACCTTCACCTGTCAGTCACCTGATTCAACCCCCACCCCCCACCGCCAGTCACCTGGTGCCCTGTCACCTGTCAGTGAACAATGCTGGGTTCTCCAGGGCCCACTCTGCGAGGTAGAGGGCGGCGTTCCAGGTGACCAGGCCAGTGGTGCCGTGGGACACGATGGCGGTGCTCTCGCAGAGGGTCACGGGGTCTCCGGAAGGCTAGGCCAGGGGACAGGGAGAGCAAGGCTGCCCAGCTACAAGCAGAGAGGCAGTGCTCCCCGGGGACAAGGACCAGGAAGGAGCTCCCGGGGTGCGGTGGGGAGGGGAGCGTGGGGACCACTCAGCAGTGAGCAGCGCTCACTACAGCAGACCCACCTTCAGGACAGCCAAGCTCTGTGCCTTCGGACCCACAAATGGCTAACCTGAAGCTCAGGGGTTCAAGACCACCCCTGGCTCTCCAGGAGAGGCCTGGCAGCTCGCTCCTCTGAGATGAGGGCCAAGAAGTCCCTCGACTGTCGCAGGGCATCAGAAGTCACTCACTGGCACCCGGCAACAGTTTCAGGCAGAGCATGCAGTAGTGGGAAGGAAGGCCTGGGGATCCACTCCCCAAACTCAGCCTGTAGAACCCTGTGGATTTTGACCTGGGGATCGGCCTGTGTTCTGATCCCTGCATATGGGGCACCGTCAGCTGGCCCCGACTCAACCACTGCTAACATGTGCCTCCAGGAAGCCG